AACAAGTTATTAGTAATTCTTAAAGAGAAGTTTTCCTATGTCAAACACGCCGTAAACACGTATCCGGACATTAGAATTTAAACCGCAAACTTGTCTTTCCGGACAACATCATTCAAACCACACGTAGTAGACGAAAATCCGGACACATTTTGGACTTCTTCGATCCGGACTCGTGTTAAAGGTCATAAGAAAGACAACATTAAGCTACTTTATTATTTGCCTTGCACAAAACTAACCTTCTGCAGTTCAAATCGCGAGGGAAAGCGTAAAATTGCCAATAATGTCTTGACTTTCAACGATACGAACAAAAGCTTTTCAGGAAGTGAAACTCGAACAGGCGTTCCTGGTTAAATCTGGGACGAGCCTTGATTCATTGATAACACAGGAAGCCCAATCAAAAACTTTAGACTTTTTTTAATTTTGTTTTAAAGTTTATTCAATAATCCACTCTTGCTCTACAGGTTTTGTGYTGAATGATGCAGTGAAACCCAGTGTCTTAAGAAAAAAGTAAAAATAAATAAATAAAAAATGTCCTGTCCCAAATTTCCTTCTTTTCATAAACTTCTATTTGCAGTGAAAACACTCAAATGACTTTTCTCCAATGTATATTATTAGGATGAGACTGCAAACGATCCGGATTTGCCGGGAGACTCCCGTTTTGGATATAATCTCCTGGTCTCAAGATTTTAGCCCTAAATCTCCCGGATATTTTCATAGAATGATATTAATTACTAACCATCGTAACTTTACTACAACAGAGAGCCTTGCGCATTTTCATTTTTATTTAGATTTTTAATTCCCCTTGGAGATTAATAAAACAATTGACACTTACAAGAGAAAGTTGGCAAAGCATTCTGGTAGTTGTAGTTAATGACGCCATAATGCAAATCGGCGGCTGTTCCAGTTGTTTACAATTGTTTTTTTTTTTGTTGTTGTTGTTGTTGTGTTGTTTTTTTTTGCTTTACTTTAATATCATCTTGACCAGACCAAATAAAGCTTTTTGCATGTTATTGATTAGTAGAATTCTTTGAATTTTTCGAGTGGTTTGACCGTCTGGAATATTCTTCGCAGTAAGAAGTATAAACTCATTCAGGCCAAATAATATTCTTCAAAATACCCGTTAATAGTAATAAGTATATTCGGATGATTCACAACAGATATATAAAGACATCAGCCGCGGTGACATTGATTGTTGACCAAAACTGATTTAATATTATAATCTATAAATAGGCTTTGTTAAAAATTCCTCAGAATCATATCATCTCACCGCGGCGAAGTATTTATGGCGCTCAATCCCCGCCAGACCTGACGGTTGTACTTGTGAGTACTCTATTTTTAGCCTTGAATTGAGGTTATTTTTACGAGTCAAATTCGCGTAAAATTGTGATGTT